GATCCCTTCCAGCACGAAGGCTGCAGTGTCTTTACCCAAACACTGGAATTCTGCAATGCTCACAGGTTAGTTGTGTACATTACAAAATAAGCTCTGTTGTTTGTATACACTTTAAAATTCAGAAATTATTTAGGAAAAGGTAATTCAAGTGAAGAAATTAAGTTTACCTGGAGAATCAGAAGTACTGCTGATGTACAGTGTTATTTTAATGACCAAGATTAAGTACCATTGTTAAAGTAATTAGCTGATCTCTCCTATTTTAAATTTCCCCATGATAAAGCTAGTGAATTAGTTATCAAAAAAGCCTATATTTAAAGACAAATAAATTATTTTCTTATTTAGTTTGGCTTTTTTATTTAATAATTAAGGCCATTGAAAAGAAAGCAGTTATGTGTCTGATATTAGAATGTTGTCATACCACATGTGATTAAATATTTTTAAAAGAATAACTACTCTTTTTTGAAAGAATAATGAAAAGCTATGTGCAAAGCAATCCAGCTCAGCACAATCCTACTGAAATCAATTACAAAGCACTGCAGCATTTACACAGCTGTTCTATTGGCCCCTTCACATGCAGATCTCTAAAATAATGAGCTGAACACCAATTGTTTTAGGAACACTAATTACTACACAAACTTTGGGTGGGGCTTGAGCATTCAACAGAGGTTTGCAGATTTCCTCCCTGAAGCCAGGTCACAGCACTGCTGTGAACGCTTTGAAAATTCCAACCATTCTTAACATGAAATGTGACTCAACACCACTCTGCAAGGTACCGACTGTGACATGTAAATAAACATTAAAAACTCCACGTTCAGCTGGGAAGCCTGTTTATTCTGATAACCAGGATTTTTGGCCTAAAGACATTTATTTATATCCTGTCCAGTACTGTGAGTACATGCCTTTCCTTGCTTTCACTATGATTTCAGTGATGATGACACAATGAAACACCAGAAATACTAATATCCACAAAATGACTAGCAATTGTGGAATAACACATATTAGAACTGTCAATCCAGGCTAATATGCAGTTGCCTCAGATAGAAAACTATTACAGAACTCAGAGATAACCTGCACCCTCTGATCATTCAGGCCTCCAGATGCAAGTCCTCTGAAGGTAATACAGATGCCTTGAACAGAAACCTGGGGAGAATGAGATAACTAGTGAAATTCTAAATTGGAAAACACTTTCATCTGGTTCATGGGTCAAAAACTTTAGCAAATACAGGCACTCTGTACTCACTTTGACCTACTCTAAACCTTCCTTAGAGAAGCTAAAATGTCCTCTTTGCTACAGAACTGGAAAAATATCATTCATCTAGTTTTGATGAAACTTAACTAAACTGGTTCTTTTCCTGTATCCTGTATCTTCCAGAGGTTTATGACAGCAAGGTCAGCTGAGCAGAACAACTGGAAATCAAACCAAGAAGCTCCTGAGAGTAACTAACTGCACTCAGTTCTTTTCATCCTCCTGCAAACTTCATTTGTGAAGATTTACGTTGCTTTTAAGTTGGATTCCCAGTCTGAGACATGAAGGTTTCAGCCTGGAAAACCAAACAGGAGGCACACAAATTCAGAGTTTGCTGCAAAAAGCTGATTTAAACACTTTCAAGACAGCAGGTAGGACTAAGGAGCCAACTGCAATGGTAAAATGATTAATTCAGAGTAAAGTGAGCTGATTTGCAGCACTCTAACCAAACATCAGAATACAGAAACTATTTTAATGGATTAGAGCAGATGTCTGCCCAGTCCAGTGAGGATAGCAGCAGAATATGAACTCTGTACTAGACAGGTGTGAGATTATCTACCTTCCATATTAAGTCTCAATTTTACTTGAAATTACACTGAAACCATGATGTAGAGAACAATGCTGGGCATAACAGTGGACTAAAAGCTGATGGAAATCCCTCTCCTGAAATGCTTTGTCCAATTCTGTGTGTCCTAATCCCCCTTCCCAAATAAAAAAAAATAAAAAAGGTTAAAAATTTGCAAAAACAAAAGTCTTCTGCAGGGAAAAGGAATGGAATATGAAAATGTTTGTATATAGGGAAAAAGTACAAATAATTACCAGTATAAAACAGATTAAGATATTTACTTCCCTATAACAGGAAGAGATACTAATAAAACTAAAACAAAAAATTCTTGCTTTATAAAAATATGCATTTTCCATAAAGTATAATTAATTTACAAAATGTCTTGACACAATGTATTTTCAAATCTAGTTTAGAGGGGTCATAAGCATCCTAGATGTGCATAATTCTCTGCCAGATAACCTTTAGGAAGAAACCTAATTTTTATAATCCCTTATCTCCAAGTGCACACTGTATTTTTTCTGACATCAACTCTTGTCAAACCTGGGTTCTGAACTAAATCAGTAAAGAATGGTCCATCACAGCAATCTGTGCTGCTATAAACCATGAATAAGTTACCATCCATTTCTCTGTAACACAGTTTCCTTATGCAAAAATTGCAGATATCAGTATTTCAAGATGAGAAGATGAGATGATGAGTTATTACTTGTGTTTTCTGATCCTTGACGAAAAACATAATGTTGCTGTTAAAAAAAAATTAAAAAAAAAACTAAAACAAAACAAAACAAAAACCATCCAGCAAGTATAACATACTCATACTGGCTAAATTGATTTATTTCGTTGGAACAATGTTCAGTCCTTCTGTAATGGCTTTATTTTCCTTGCATTTGTGCAAAATGCAGGTTCCAGAGCTACACTCCTGTCTCTCCTAAAGACTGCTCAAGATCTCACATGTGATGAAGATACACTAAGCAGTGAGGATGCAGCAGGAACATTCCCCAGTTATGTGCTCAACAACACTGTCAGCATCACCCTGCAGTAAAGGGGAGGAAAAAAGCAATTCTTTGAGGGATTTGCCATGGAAAGAACCTGCCTGTCAACTTAGTGTCAGCTGACAGTCAGAAAAAATCCAAAACATCCCACCTTTTTTTCTCACAGTCTATTTTCCACGACCTTTCTTAAAAGTGGGCCAAGATAACAAGCTTGCTTCCTTTTCTCTGAGGGTTTTGGGTCTTTTCCCTATCTTTGTGGTTATATGCATTTTTAATTCCTTATCTGGCTTCTCCAAAACAGAAGGACCTGCAAATTAAACTTGCAAAGTGGCCAGACAAGCACTGTATAACTCAAGCAGACAAGGACCAGGACATGAATTCAGCACAAGCTGGAACACAACATTTGTGAGAAAATCATCGGTTAGTCAGCTGCAGTGGTCAGAAGGGGGAAAAGTTCTGGGCAAGGCTGAAATGAAAAAACAAATACTGTGATGCTGTACATCATAAGCAATACAGCAGAGAACACAATGTAAGTTAATCTGGAAGTAGTATGAAATTTACATTCCATGTTGAAGTTACTGGCAAGGGCACAGGGGGTAGGCAGGAGAGCTGACAAAGTCCAATGGCCACCAGAGATCTGTTTCCCAATGCACAGCTCAGGCAGAGCTGATCACCTGTGTTAGCAGTACTGCAGAGTGCAGAGGATGAAAATAATCACCTGATCCATGGAAAAGTTCAACACACAAAAAACTTCACAGTGTTTTTCCATGGGTTCATAAACAGCACGGCTGAACTCATATGGACAATCCATTTAGATGCAGACTCTGTAGTTTCATTTCCCAGAACACAACAGCATTTGATATACTTATCCCTTTTTTTCACCTTAAATGGACTAAAAATCCAAGATCAGTTCTATGGGTAATGCATATTTATTTGAAGCCACTTCTGAGGCTGAAAAGTGGAGGTGCAGCAGCTAACACAGCAGGCTGGGAAAATGAACTCCTGGTTCAGGAACCCAGATAATTTATGTATGGTACTGTGGGAGATTAAATATTCAGGAATACTGTCATCTTTGTTCCATCTTCCAAATGTTAGTATCTCTGATTTTCATAATATATTTTGAGGGCTTTTGTTTTCACATGGTCTGGAAAAGACCTTAACTGTGTTTTGTTACAACAGGAAAGACCCCTGTACCTAGAGGGTCCTTATCATTTATGAGGAGACACAAAGCTTCAGTTTCACAGACAAACTTATCTCACATAGACAGTTAAAGCCACTTTAATACATCCTGAATAGGAAGAATAACATTTGGCACCTTCCTTAATGAAATCTCCAGTAACAGTGTAAGGGATGGGAGCTGTCAGGTGTGCTGCTCGCTGTCCCTCTGCAGCCTCCGGGTACTTTACACCTCCCAGACAGGTCAAGCAGCACCTGCAGGTCAACCCGCAAGCTACCAGCCTTGTGCTGCAGTTTCAGTCCCAGACCTGTGTCTTCATGTATTATTTTCTCATGCTAATTCATGCAGGCGGCCGTTCCTTGTGTAAGAGGAGCTCCTCTGCACCGCCGGTCTGCTCTGCTCTTCGCCACCGCCACCTTTGCCCCTGCGCGGGAGGACGGGGCAGGGTGCGGGAGGATGGGGATGGGGCAGGGTGCGGGAGGATGGAGCAGGGTGCACGGTGCGGGAGGATGGAGCAGGGTGCAGGAGGATGGGGCAGGGTGCGGGAGGACGGGGATGGGGCAGGGTGCGGGAGGATGGAGCAGGGTGCAGGAGGATGGGGCAGGGTGCAGGCTGCCCCACCACCAGCCTCCTCCTCGGCCCCGCAGCGCCGGCCGGGTGAGCCGGCCTGTGGCCCTCACACCTTCCACGCCACAGCGGGTCAGTCCCGCTCAGGCAGGCCTGGAGCGAGGCGGGCTCTTCCCTCTCTACCTGCCTGAAGGAGCTTTCCCCACGACCACCTTGTCCCTGGGAAGACTCTCCTCATCCCCCAAGGGAAGGGGCTTTGCCCTTCGTCACAGCTCCTGCCGCGGTCCCTTCACCACCTCAGTGCCCTCGGCCAGAAGTGCTCCCCCCCGTCTCCCCCAGGAGAAGGGCTCCGTCTCCGCACTCCGCTGCGAGCCGGGCCCCCTGTACCGCCAGAAGCCCCTGGAGAAGGGGGGCTCCCCCTCTCCCCCCGCCCAGGCGCCTGCGGCTGGCACTGACCCGTCTCTGCCGTCCTGCTCCTCTCCGCCATATTTGTTGTCATCCCGCCACCCCCCCCCAACGCCGCCCGGCCGTCGCCATGGCAACGCGCGTCAGCGCCATGGGGGAGCCCCGCGCCACCCCCCCCCCCCCCGTCATGGCGGCAGGCCTGACGGCCCTCCCCGGGGACAGCCTGCCCGAGGACAGCCTTCCCTGCGAGCGGCTGCCTGGGCTCATCCTGCCCGGAGAGAGCCTTTCCCGGGAGCGCCTGCCCAGGAACAGCCCGCGCGGGAAGCAGCGTCCGCTTCCATCCTCGCCCAGCCCGGCGGCCGCCGCGGTGGTGGCGGGCGGGGCATGAGGGGAGCACCACCGGCCGCCCGCCCCTCACGCAGCACGGCTCCCTCCCGCACGGCCGCGCCCGCCCCGCCCCGCCTCCCGCGGCCGCAGTTTACCGCCGCTGCTCGGACAAGGAAAGGAGGGCTCGTTTTCTGCTCCCTGGTGGCTGCCCGCCACTTCGGCAGTTGCCGTCACTGAGCCCCGGAGGATGGAGCTGTGCCGGTAGCGGAGCTCCTCCCGGGGTTCCTGCCTGCCCGTGGGAGTCGGTGTGGGCCCGAGGTGTGCATAGGGCGCTGAGGAGGAGAGGCTCGTTATCACAGAATATTGGTTAGGTTGGAAAAGACCTCTGAGATCATCATTTCCAATCTAACATCCAACACCACTAGTGTTGGTCACCTAGACCATGGCACCAAGTGCCATGTCCAGTCCTTCCTTAACACCTTCAGGGACGGCGACTCCATCACCTCCCTGTGTGGTCTATTCCCACATCTAATCACCCTGTCTGTGAAGAAATTTTCCTATTGTCCGATGTCCTGGTGTTACATGTGCCCCTCCACACAGCTCAGGGCAGCGAGGGGCAGAGGGGCCGGCGGCCTGTGTCCGTTCGGGGTCTCTGTCAGCCCAGGGGAGGCGAGCGCTTCCCTCCGGCTCCGATTCCAGCCCCATCCCGTCAGAGATGGCCAATGCATGTGTGCGTGACTGCCCTACCCTGCCCCAAAACTCAGCAGGTGAGTCTGGTCAAGTGGCAGTTATGTCAACTTTTATTTTATTTTATTTTTTAATTTCTTAAGGCAGCCCAGTGGGGAGCTTCATTATGCGCGTGAGTGTTGCCCGTCTGTCTCGTTGCCCCAGCCCCAGCAGGTGAGGCTGACCATATGGCAAATGCAGTGCTGGGGACGGGAGGGCTCCTGCGTGCGCGTGTTCGCGGGCCCGCTGGGTGACACTCACCATGTGGCGAACACGGCCATGAAGGCTCCGGTGTACAGGGGCTAATTATGTGTGTGAGTCCCGGGGGACCCGGCAGCCCGGGTGTGATCATGCGTGTCTCACTAATGCTGAGGCGCAAGCTGCATTGTGCATCCTCCACGCAGACAGCTACAGCCTCTGGGAAGCGAGGCTGACCGCGGGAGGAGCGCAGGGTTACAAGCACAAGCATCAAGACTCGTGTTTATGTGCATACCCAGGTAGATGTGCGGCTGGATGCACCCCGAACCAGGCGGCTCTTAAAACTATGGAACAGGGAGTACACGAGCAGTGGAAACAGGCAGGACTGTGTTTATGGTTATGCACACACTCAGGTGTTTGCTTCCTTAGACCTTAGTAAATTAATGTAACCACTTCCTAGTGACTAGTCAGGGAAACAATCCAAGATTAAAAATTAAGGCATGTAAAGTTGTATCTTTCTCCATCTAAGTTCTGTTATTTAAACGTTACTTTACCTCTTTGTCTTCCTACCTAGTATATGCCTTTTCTGCTCCAATTCAGCTCCTCTTAACAACACTCAGGTGGATAATACCTACAGCTTCTACATACTTAGATTTTTCTGTGGGTCACTTGCTAGCTTTCTCCCTGAAAAAGAGAAAGCTTGCTCCTTTTTGCAGCCTTGTTCATTCTTCTTTCAGTTCATAGTTCTCTGGTTATTTTTGCAGCATTTATTTTTGTGGTTTCATTTCCTTTATTTTTCAGTGGCACTTAGGCCTCTTTCCTTTATCTATTCCTCTTCTCTCTCAGTATCTTACTTTAGTATTATATAAGCAAATTGAACATTTCTTCAGCCACATTCCTGTTCCATGATGAAATACCTGTCTGAAGTGGTGTACCAAGGGGGCTTTGTGATGGGCTTGGAAGATACACCCTGGCACAGAAGAATGTTGAAGGTCATCTAGATCCAAGCTCTGCAAAAATATTTTCTAGACGTTCCCCTCTGCAGTCTTTCTAAACTATAGGTGGTCACTTGCATACTAAAAAGGTGGATTTGTCTCGCTGCTGACAGTGAGCTACACTAAGTGCACACACCCCCACAGACACATTCTTTTCCTTACAGCCTTGCTCCAGGCCAGCAAATCACCCAGGCCTTCTGCTCTTCCTTGTCTATTGCTGGGTGAATGATCCTGGGACTTCCCTCTTCAGAATATGCCACATATACTCTGATCTTTCTCTTCTTTCTTTTATGTTCCCTGATAGCCATGTCCCACCCCAACTATCCTTCAAATAATTTCTCATAGTCCTGATCTCTTCATTCCTTTATTTGAGATTTTTTTTCCCTATTTTTAGGTCTTAAACAGTTCTGTCCAAGTTTGCAGCTCTAGTCTGGTTTCTTACCATGTCCCCACATCCCCTTATTCCCTTTGTTCTACTTGCTATTCCAGCTTTAGTGTCCCCTCATCCATATTTCATTTCTATCTATTATTACCCATATAGCATTTTTCATCTGTAAATTTCTAAGAATTAAGTGCCTGTGGAGAGGCTTTCCATATCTGTTCTTCGGGTGACCTCTTTATTCACATTTCTCTCTGACTGGCTTCTATGGTGACCACAAATACTAATCCAAAGGCCTTTTGCATCTAATTGCCAGCCGATTAACTCAACTGAAATACCTGCAAGAAATTCTATTGAAACCAGAGACATTTGGGGAAAAGCACTTTCGCCATTCAAATTATCTCTTCTGAGTTAACACACTTGAAAAACCTAGAAATGCCACACTCATTTTTTTAGTCTGAGTTTAATGCTATGTTATAGTCACCTCACCAAGCTGAAGTGGTGTTAAATATAGATGATATGCAATCTTTCCAAAAACAGTAAGATAATTTGACAAGAGAGGACTGGAAAGTTCATATAGAAAGTTCTTTTGGAAATAGAAAGATAACTGGATGGTGTAATTCGAATCAGGGCTGAAGAATGAGGGAAATGGTTTTCAGGAGGAGCAGTTTCTTGTTTTTATTTGTGCATTTTTAGAGCACCTGAGGACATTTTGGGGTTTTCATTAGTACAAAGAGGCCTTTGGCCCTAACAGTCTGCATTTGGACATTACAAAACAACAAATACTAACAGAACACTGTTGCAAGACACTGGTGCCCTGGTTATCCTCACATTTGCTGCTTCAGCCCAATTCCTTGTTCCAGCACGTCCCTCCTCCCCCTTCTGCATCTTGGCAAGCAGAAGCTGCCTCACTTCTGTGGCTCTTTGCAGCTTATTCCCACCCCACCATCTTTTAATAGCCTATGGAGAAACCAACGGCTTCCCCCCACACATTTCATTCAGTAATAACTCTCTACTTGTTACATTTTCAAACCAGCACCTTCATGCTTTCCCTCGCTGCTGCTTCGCACTCCCACTCACTTAATTTTCCTCCTTCAAATCCCTCCCTAAAAATCTCCTCTGCTGTGATGTCTACCGAAGGAATGATAATGAATTGTCAGCTGTGTGCCAAGCTCAGTGTCTGTCGTGGGGACTGGTCTGATGTGCTGGGCAGCCACTGCTTGTGTGGGACTGGCAGTGCCTGGAACAGCCCCTCTTTCCACTCTGCTCACTGTGGGTCCTGGGATGGGCCCTTAAAACTCGTTATATAAGCAAGCAAAACTAAACTGAGGCAATGGAAATGGAAATGGAAATGCTGGCCAAAATCAGGAAGATTAGACAATATTTCAGTTATGATTCATCAGCTTAGGTAAATTTACATAAAAATTGATGTGACTGACAACTCCCTTCACTGCAAATATTGAGAAATACATTATTTTTCTAAATACAGATTTGTGCCATTTTTCTACTTATTTTTAATCTATAAGGAATAGAGGAGTATGCTTTACTTTTTTTATCTGTGCTTGTATTTGAAACATTAGATATTCCATTGTTTGTTTATCTTTCGTTTGCAGCCTGCAAGGCTGTGGTGATTAAAGAATATAAGAAAGAATAATAACATAAGAGCAAAGACTTGAAAGGAAACAAGATTCCTGATCACATTTTTTTTAACATGAGGATAATTCAAATATGTTGAAGATTGAATGATTTGTATTATACATTCAATACTTCTGATTCAGCTAGAGGTGGCTGCTGTCAATACATGTCTGTCGAAACCCCAAAGAAAATCAGTAAAAATCCAATTTTACAATCCTGATATTTTCAGTGTTTAAAAAATTGGCAAAAAAATGCCCTTTCTTATACATTACAAAAAAGCCAGTAAGGTGCATTATTGATTTTTCACAAATCGTTTGTAAGTGACTGTTAAGGCTGGATGAGAAGGAGAAGATGGAGCATTAGCACGAGTTTTGCATCTGTTTCACACACCACATGCATGGTGCATGTTGTGGGTCTTCAAGGTGGGGATTTAAGAATCCAGGTGTAATTGTGTAGAAATCACATAATTACTCTTTTTTTGTATCCCTTTCCCCATGTAGAATAAAGTAATGCAGGCATTCAAGTATATTTCAGCTGTGACTACTGTTAGAGAAAAGGCCATAGAAATGGTTCTGATGTAAACAGGGCATCCATGGTGGCTGTGCAAGCAGAGCAAGCACAACCCAATTTTAAAAAGAAAGAAAAGCAAAAGTCTGGTCAGAGTTTTTTGCCAGATTATTATGATCCGGTGGATTCAGAGATAAAATTAAATCTGATAAAGAAAGAAAAAGCCAAAATGAAAACCAAAGCCCAGATTGAGGTAGCAAAATTGAAGTGAATTTTAAACTATGCACACATAGTGGAGGAATCCTATAATCTTATTATTGTAACC